GAAATAAACTGCCAAAAGCCCTGAACCGATGGGCCTAACCTATCTATAGACTCCACTAGACCTAGACCGGACTGACTGACTGACCGGTACCGTTTTTGTTTCGGCCTCTCGACCTCTACCGGACCCGACTATAGGCTATAGGACCATCTATCAGCATCGGCCACTTAGGGCCTGTCTGTCCTAGGGGTAGCCCGGGCCTGCTATTCGCAGTAAGGGTAGCTGTAGGAATTCGAGTTAGTATTGGGCCAATATTTTCCCAGATTTGCAGATATGTCCCTCACGAATTTCCTTACAGGTAGGTCTCTCGGTTAGCCCTCAGCCAAACAAAATTGTGAAACTAACCCTACCAGTTAGTGTACAGCCTCGCAGTCAATCTCGGCAGTGGAAATCAGCAAGTCATTGCAGGCTTACCCTCCCCGGGAGCGAGGACCTCCGAGCTAGGGATGCAGGCGTGGTGAACGGCAAGGAAGGTTGCCCTTCTGAGCCGCTTCATACCGCAAAACAACTGACTTTGCTGTCTTGAGAAGTTCCCTTCTGTAGAACCATCTGTTCTCAGAAGGAGGCTGGAATGCAAACCTCACAAGATACCGCTGGTTGGGGCCGGTGCCCCACTCGTCCTCAATTCATTCCACGTCATATCCCTTGCCAGGGATCGGTGGACCAAACTGAGGGGGCCGGTCTGGGAATGCATCAGCTGGAGTGAAAGGCAGCAGCTTAGATGCATGGAAAACCGGATAGGTGCATAGATGCAGCGGGACATCGATAACATACGACGGACCGAAGGGATCAGCACCCACTGTATCTAGGACCTGCCATGGACCCAAGTAACATGGCAACAGCTCGGGGGAGATGTCCTCCTCTCTCGACAGCTCACAACTGGCCACCCAGACATGATCACCAATGCAGATGGGGGAAGGCCGCTTGTGGCGATTAGCTTGTTCGATCATAGCCTTTTGGGCTTTGAACAAGTTCGCGCGGGCTCTTTCCACATCTAAACGATAACGTTTGGTGAACTCCGTTGTGCCTGGCGTCAGATCAGGCTTAGCCATATCGATGATGTCGTCGAGAGGCTGTCGTGGTTCACGCCCTCGGTGTAACCGGTAGGGACTGAACCCTGTCGAGGAGTGGGCAGACATGTTATACATGAGTTGTGCCCTAGCCACGTGAAGATCCCAGTCCTGTTGATCTGGAAAGATGACAGGATGCCACAATTGGAATAAGACATGGTTCATCACCTCAGCCTGACCATTGGCTTCAGGATGATGATCAGAAGTCATGTCCAATCGTGAGTGCATGTAATCCGTACAATAGGACTGCCACTCATCGCTGCAAAATATGGGGTCTCTGTCACTGACTATAGAAGTGGGCGGTCCATGGTGAGTGACCCACCTCTCAGAAAAGGTTGCTCTCACAGCCGGAACCCTAGCTACCTCTGGCAAGGGGATGAACTTTGCGTATTTGGAGAACCTGTCCACGCAGACCATAACCTGGCGCATGCCACGAGGGGTGGTCTTGCCTAAGTCTGTCATCAGGTATGGGTAAGGGTTTGAGCAGTCCCAAAGGAGGTCTACGTTGGACCTTATTCCTTTGGCAGAGCTCACAGGTGTCCACATAACGCAACATCTCACTCCGCATCTCCTTCCAGAAGAAGCGTTGTGACAGGGCTGCATAGGACTTTAGGAACCCAAAATGTCCAGGGCATCATGACACTCTGACATCAGCAGTGTCCTGAGTCGCTGGTCCTGGGGAATGCACAAGCGCTCCTCACCTCTACTGTACGTATACAGCAGGTCTGAACTAAAAGCATAGCCTGGTTCAGAGTTAGGATCTGCTTGCAGATTCCTGACGATGGGTCTGAAAGTCTCATCCTGAGGCAGTAGACGAGCAATGGTTTGACGGGTCTCCTCTCCAAAGGAGTGAGTAGAGGAGATCAACGCAAAAGAGTCAGGCCTACGAGAGAGGGCATCTGCTACCTTGTTGTAGCAGCCCTTCTTATGCTTCAGTTCCAAGTCAAACATGTCAATGAACTGAATGTACCGTGCCAACTTGTCATTCAACTCTCCCTGGGACTTCATCCACTGTAAGGTGGAGTGATCTGAAAAGATCTTGAAGTGTCTTCCCAGGAGAAAGTGCTTCCAATGTTTCAAGGCACAGACAAGAGCATATAGCTCTTTCTCGTAGGTAGAGTCCAAGAGTTTTTGAGTCTTGATCTTCTTACTCGTAAACTCTACAGGTCGTAGACCATTCCCATCATCCTGCTGAAGAACTGCCCCAATGCCATACTAGCGTCAGTGGTCAGGATGAATGGCAAGGTGGGGTCAGGTAACTTCAGCACAGCGCACGAGTCAAGGCCTTCTTGAGTCGTGTGAAGGCCAACTGATAGGGAAGGGACCAAAGAAAGGAAGTATCTTTCTTTGTTAGGTTGGTCAGGGGTGCAGCCACTGCAGAAAAGTTCCTCACAAACTTTCTGTAGTATGAGGCTATACCCATGAAGGACCTGACATCCCTCACTATCTGTGACTGAGGCCACTCCTGAATAGCAACAATCTTAGCTGCTTCAGGAGCCAGGCCATCTCCAGAGATTACGTGCCCCAGGTAGATGACAGAGGGAATTCCAAAGGAGGACTTCTTTTTGTTGATCTTATACTGGTTGTCACGTAACGACTGAAGGACCAAAGCCAAGTGCTCCACATGTTCCTTGGCAGTTTTGTTGAATACCAGGATATCATACAGGTAGACAACCATAAACTTGTCCAGGTAAGGCCTGAAGATGCGGTGCATCTCGGTCTGGAAGGTACTTGGGGCATTGCAAAGTCCAAATGGCATGACCAGGAACTCATAAGTCTCATACCTGGTCTTGAAGGTTGTCTTATAGACATCCTCCTCTGTCATCTCAATCTGGTGGTAGCCAGATTTGAGATCGACTTTGCTAAACACTGTGCAGCCCTGCACCATGTCCAGGAGGTCGTCGATCCTAGGAAGTGGCTCTGTACTCTTCCTAGTGATCTTATTGAGACCCCGGTAGTCAATACACATCCTAAACTCGCCATTCCCTTTGCGTACAAAAAGAACAGGTGCACCGAATTCAGATGTGCTGGGTCTGATACAGCCCTTGCTGGTCAGGGTCTCAAGCTGCTCTCTGAGCTCCTCAAGCTCAACAGGGGACATCCTGTAGATGCGGCCCTTGGGAGGGACCGCTCCAGGCAGCAGCTCGATGTGATGCTTGGTTGGCCGGTTGGGTAACCCAAAGGGCTCCTGCATCAGATCAGCATATTGATCTACCACCTGCTGTATCTCAGGAGGACAAGAAACAGGGGGAGCATCTGTTCGCTTGACCAAAGCAATAAACAGACGCTCGTGGGGTACTGGCGTGAGAGAGCATGGAACTCCCTCGCTCTCAGGCAGTAGCAAGATGTCTTAGGGTGGTGATCAGCAGCAATCATGCATGGCTGATATACACCCTGGCTATTAGGTAGCTCAACCTTTGGGATTTGCCAGTCGATCCTCAGGTTGACTGCCTTCAGCCACTGCATAGAGAATACCAAGTCAAAGGACAGCTCAGGGAAGATGTAGAACTTCAGACTATGTTTGACTTCTCCAGCACTGTCGAAGGTCACAAGAATGCCCTTGACCTTCTCCCTGATGCTGAGCACTGTAGAGTCACCAATCCTCACTAGCAGCGGTTGCTGCAGCTGCTGAACTTTCATGCCCAGATGCAGTTTCTTGACTGCACTGGGAGACATGAAGTTCCTGGTGGCTCCACAGTCCAGTAGCCCCGTGATCCTGGTGCGGTTGATCAGGGGTCGAAGCATGATAAGATCAGACTTGCCTTTATTTTGTTCCTTCAGATGAAGGAAGAAGGTTGCAAGTGACTGAAGCTCATCCTGCCCCGGGTTCTGATCCGGGTCAGGATCCTCATAACAGAAGGATGTAGCTCGCGCAGTCCCCCAACAAATTGAATCTATCTCAACTGAAACAGCTGCAGATTCACCTACCTGAGTAGATGAAGGTGCAGCACTGGGACGAACTGCAGCCCCCAGGGTCTGTTTCAGTTTTGAGTGCCCTGGGCCTGGCATGTAAGGGCAGTCCTTCAGGAAGTGTTGTCCCTCACATCTCAGGCAGACCCCTCTCTCCTTTCTTCTTCTCCAAACTCCCTCATGGATCTTGAGGTCATGCCAGGGGAGTGTGGAGGGATTGAGAGGGTCAGCTGGCATGCGGACATCTTTGGGCAGGTTAGGGCGCTGGGAAGAGGAAGGCCGACGTCCCTTTTCCTTCCCTTTGGCACTGGTTGAGGCTGCGGTCGAGGAAAACTTCTGCTGCTGCAGAACCCCCAAAACAGCCTGAGTCAGGGCTGCTGCAACATCTGTCTCAGCAGCAGATCCAGTCTCAGCTGAAGGTGCATCAGCTTGGGAATCTGAATCTGATCCTGATGCAGACCCCGTATGAGTGAAGGCTGCCTTTCCCTTTCTGCCACCTCTAGGGAAGGCACCTTTCCTCCTGTCAGAGGATGGGGCCTGAACATGAAGCTTTGCCTCCATGTCCAGGGCTGCGCGGCCAAAGGACCTCCAGTCCTTGTGCCCAGCGTTGTACAAGGCAACAGCAAACTTCTCAGGTGCTGCCCTGCAGAAGTTGGTCAATAGATCATCAGTGGACATGACCAACCCAGAGGTGGAGGTAAGCTGCTCAAATTCTGCAAACAAGGCCTGTAGGGTGCCGCTGTACCGCTGCTGTCCCAGGCGAGCAATCCTGTCAGCAGCCTTGCGGGCCCGCTCCTTGTCTGCAAAACGGTCCTCCAGGGCCTGCAAAAGTTTGTCCACCCCAAGCCCAAAAGCCCAGTCCTCCATGGACTGTTGCAGACTGCTGGAAGTGGAGGTGGCCCACTTCAATGCAGGTCCCTCCAGCAGTCCTAGAACAGTGGCCACCTTGGTCTGTTTTGCACAGACAAAGCCCCTCAAGTAGGCTTTGGTCCCAGCAGCCCAGTCCCCAACAACGGTCTTGGGGTCATCACCCCTGAACTTGTTGGGAGCAGGGATCTTGGGACCTCTTTGATCTCCTGCAGTTACAGCAGCATAGGTGGCTTTGCCTGAGGCTTTTTGGGAATGAGATGGTGACCGGGAAGAATGCATTGATCCAGGGGGAGATGAAGGTGGGGTAGAAGGAGGAGAAGGTTTGGGGTTTATCAGAGGGAGTTGAGGAGCGATCAGCTTGGCGGCTGCCAGCTAAGCAGTCAAGTTCTGAATCGCATCCAGAATCTTAGACTGTTGAGCTGACAGGCTGTCAACGCGACGCTCCAAGCGATCAAAACGGTCATCCCAGTTCGTGAAGTGAGAGTTGGTGATCTTGTGCTCCAGGATGATCATCTTTGCCAGGTGCTTAGTCACCTGTGCACAGCGCTCATCTGAGAGCACCTTGTCTAGCTGCTGCAACAGATATTCCCTTCTGGAATAATCAATTGCAGCTTCTAGCTCAGCTGCCTCCTGACGTTCCAACTCTGCAAGCCGTTCCTGTTGACGCCGCAGTTGTTCTTGCAGCTCCTTTTCCTGCTGAGTAGCAGTCAGAGGTGGAGAAGGAGGAGTGGAGGTTGAAGGTTGTTGACCTTCCACCTTCATTACAACTTCCACCTGTAGCTGCTGCTGAGCCCCATGGTCAGACATTTTCCTTTTTCAAAATAAAACAAAATAATAAAGAACAGCAACCAGAGTATGGAGCAATACTCAGATTCCTTCAGCACCCTGGAATCGGTGCAATATCTCAACACTGGAATAGGTGGGTGTATAGGCAATCAGCGGTTTGGGTTGGAAGGGTGTCTCTGGGGTCAGGTGTCAGACAGACTGCAAGTCCAGCAAAATCATGCACACGATTTCCTTTTACTGACCCTGCACCACACTAGAGTTAGTAGAATCACTCTACTCTTCCAGAGACCCACTAGATTTTCAGAGCCCACTAGAAAACAAGTGTATTCAGTGAGAATGATAGAACATGGTAAGTACAGATAAGAGAGATCAACCATAACAAGCGATTCAAACAGACACCCTATTACCTAGCTCAGACTCCAATTTAAGCCCTGATGACTCTGGCGACCATACCCTAGGGTATGGCGAAGTACAGTATTCACTATATCCAGTGAAATACTGTAAATCCAATCATGCGATTCTGCAGTATTGACTATTTTTAATTTGCGATTCACTGGGGACTGACAGAATGGAATTCTGACGGACAGAATTGAAGTTATGACTGACGCTAGTTAGCACAGGCTATTAATAGACTCGGCGCAAAACTGCAATTCACAATATCACTACCTTTCCAGCACAGAATTCACAATTTGAGCATCCCAGGATAACCGCAATGCAGTAAAGCAGTCACAGAACAATTTTGGATTGAAAAGAGTCAACAGAGGGTTAGAAATGAGCAGAGAGAGGTAGGGGAGAGATGGTTATGGTTGTCATGCGGTCTGCGATTTTCACATCCAGTCACTGACAAACAGATAGACCATTATCATTGCCTAATCTAATCCTATCTGGATCGCTATGCAGGTAGGTGCATGGAACAGACTCACTTTCATAGAATCTTGCAGGTGATGATGAAGATCTAGCTATGGCAGAGGATGACCCTTATCTCGCCAATTTCTTCCAGATATTCCTCCTGACAATCCCACGCATAGAACTGCTTCAAACTTGTTGATCCTCCTCAGAATCCTGTAGCGCTGCACTCCCTTGACCCAGATACACTGTATCTGGTCCTGTGGCGCCCAGTATGCCAACACCAAAATATCTCGCCACAGTACCTGATAGCCGCTGATACTAAAAATAGCCCCAGATGGGGTTATTTCTTTTGGAGATTGTTATATACAATCAATCTCCTCCGGCGCTACCCAAGGATGATGCCGCTCAAGGTTCCCTGATGTCCTCAGGGGTAATTCGCCACTCTGGGGTACTTCGCAATACTACCCTCAGGGTTGGCTATGGCGAATTAGCCCTGTACTCGCCACTTCCTGACAAGCGCTCTGACAGGTTCAGTGCGCTTGCTCAGTGCAAACACTGAACACCTGATTCCACCGCAGAAAGTCTTCTTCCCTGCTGACTCCGTACTAGGGAAGATGAATCGCCATGAAGCTCTCGCCAGTATATCCCCAGATGAAGAAGATGCCTCAGTGCGCTCAACCCTCAGTGTTCCAATTCCAATCCCGCTCCGATACCAACTGTTATGAACTTGGTTGTCTGACGAATTTTATCGCCACTCACACACAGACAATCTCATACATGCCCACACATGCATAAGAGAAGGGGAGAGAGGAGACAGAGTCCCAACTGCACACAGGTGAAAATAGGCAGCGGAAGGCAATCATG